TTGTCTACTTTTGTGTTCATTGCGTATGATCCTCTTTCTGGCATTGTGTGTACTTTTTTCACGTTCATTTATTTTATTTTTTTCTTGTCTGCTTTTGTGTTCATTGCGTTTGAGCCTTTTCTGGCATTTTGTGTACTTTTTTTATGTTCATTTATGTTATTTTTTTCTTGTCTACTTTTGTATTCATTGTATTTGATTCTTTCTTGTGTATGTTTATATTTAAGCCTCGTTAATACTAACCGGAATCCCCTCCCATAATAGAAGCTTCTTCCATATTAAAAGCACCCTTCTCCTCGCTTTAGAAGCATACTCTGAGGTGAGCAACGTGTTAAAAGCCCTCTGGTTTTTCCAAAAAGGATGGTTGTGAGTGTGAGCGTGTGACTGATAGTTTAGAGGCTCTCAAATCCACACCCTTAGCAACTCTGATGACCACAAAATATGTCCGATACGGGACTTGGAGAACGACACAACTTTCATTCCCTCTTAGCAGTTTATTTTTTCAGCTTCCAAGGATAGTGAGCTTTCCCTCTCTGCTTCTTTTTATGGATTTTTCCTACACTCGTTTCTCATTAACTGTTCACGGTTGTCTATTTGTTGAATTTCTGCTATTCTCTTTGGTTGGAATTTTCTCTCACCTTCCCGTTATAAATTTTTTTTCCGCTCATCTATTTGCGGATTTTTTACTTTCCCTTTTGTCGGATGAGTCTTCACTCTCTCTTATTTTTTTAGTCACTGTAGTTACCTCTCTGCTTACACAATTCTACTAAATTTAATTGGAGTAGTAAAGAAAGAGAAAGACTGTTCTCGCTTCTTCATTGGAGGAAAATTAATAGTGACTTCGATATTTTGACATCTACAATTTAAAAAGCAACTCCACACATAAGACAAATAGCATTCCTTTTCACGCGTTCAACTACCAGTAAGCAGCTATAACAGCAGACGGTCTCTGTGAATAGAATCTGAGAGACAGAGTGAACACTAGATGAATGTTTCTGATAAAATTAAGCTCGTGAGTAGTTAAAATCCCTAGAATCGAGATATGAATGCAAAGAAATGTGTTTCTCATAGTAATGTTCAGCGCTTGATCTTAGTGAGACGTATTGTAGATGTAGCATGCTTTTGACGAGTCAACATTTGTATTAAAGTACTTAAGAGTCACTGCACAGGAGCCACGATTCGCTCTACTTAATGGAAAATTTTAGGTTCACGCGACTTCTATACTATTTGGAGGAGCCCATTCTTTTAGATTTAGAATTAAACATTTAGCCTTTCAGACATGCCTAGACTAATCAAAGAACCGTTCGAAGTAATTCAGCGCTTTACTGCCCATATCTTCAGCATATGGAAGGTATCTTTATACAAGCTTAACCCGAAAAGAATTTGGGCCCATCGCTTCTTTTTCGTATGACACGGTGGATTGGTGTAGGTGTCTATCAGGCGCGAGTGAAGAAGGGACCAACATCCTACACTTTCAGCCACACCCACATCCGTTTCATTCCATACCCACCATTCTCAGTTAGTTCAGTTACTGCACTATGCATTATAATGATATTAAATATTCTAAATTCTTAGAAACATTTGTTCTGTTTTAGATTTAAATATTGATTGAAATGAGAACTTCACAAAGTTTTTGTCGCTCATGTCTAGTCCGACGAATTTATTCAACATTATCTCAACCAAAACGTGGTTTCAAAAGAAATGTCACAAATTCAAGCGTTGATTCTAACTATCAGGTGAAACACAGGCAGACAGTAATTTGCAGAAATATATTGAAAAGAACGGGTGTGGGTGCGAGTGGATAATCTTCCATCTACACTCGCACTCACAGTACATCCATGCCCACATCCACACTTTCATCCGACACATTCGATTCCTAAAACTATAAGACCCAGTTTTTCAAAGATTTTATATACTAATTGATTTTTTATCTGTAGGTTCAGTTTACACAAAAGCAGCCGTTTCGCTATAATCATACGATACCTGATATACCAAGAGATTACCATTTGCATCTTCACACGGAGGGATTGATCAAAACGATAATAAAAAATACTCGCGCTTTATATAATGAACTGCGTGATGATTTCAAAAGACACCGTAAGTTTCAATATTATTTACTTTGTAAACCCGCGGATTCAATTCTTTATTATTTTACTTTTAGGTGCTTTTAATAGCATTTTAGTTGTGGTTATCATATCCTATACTGCTACAATCTTAGGAAGACTATATTTGGAATATAGAAAAGATGCCCGAGAAGAAAAACAAATTGATATCGATCACGTATATAAAATGGCGAAACTTGGTATGCCACCAGGTTCCAATAAAACACCGAAATCTCTACTGTCTGTGGATAAAACATCCTCATCAACCAACAAACAATGATTGAAAAATAATATAGATAACGTTCTTATTATAATACCATACGTACCCCACTTATAACACGACACATAACTTTCACTCACAACTTGACACATAAATTTCACTTTATTTAACATTTGTTTGTATAATCCCTATTATATAAGGTTGATAATGAATAAAAAGAAAAGAAAAAGAA